GGGCCGGCTGGGGCCGAAAGGCAGCACTGGGATGCTCCCAGCAGTTCCCTGGGAGCAAAAACCCAGTGTTACCCCTACGGGCTGGAGCCTCTTTCCAGTGCAGCTCCCAAACGGGCTTTCTTGGGTTCCTTCTCCGCCTTCTCCCTCCTCCACCCCGCGCAATCCTGCTTTGGTGTGGGCCTCTCTCACTGGCAGGGCTGTACCCTACTGAGATTTCAGGTTTCCCTAAGTTCAATTCCCGTTTATCGATATGGGGCGGCTCTTCCACGCGTTTTACAGACGCCCCCCTTGTCGGCTGCAGAGAGCCAACAACCTCCCGCGGCCCAGTAACGGGACAGCAGGACCAGCAGCGCAGGGTGACGGCAGCGCTGCAGCTTGGGCGCTGGGGGAACACGTGGACGGCAGCGGGGCGCTTACTCTGCTGCACGTGACCTTTTCTTCCCTTCTGGGGGCGATTAACAGCACCCGTAGGCTTTAGGGCCTTTAAGGGACATTTGATGCGTGCAATTGTTAATGTTTTCTGCAAGACCAGGGTGAGTTCAGCTGCGTAGGTAACATAAAAACTATCAGATCCACGAGGAGATGCAAATCAGCGTTCTACCTGTTGAGTCCGTCCTGGAGCGATGGAGCTGTGCCGGGGGGAGCCGGGACTCTCGGCAGATGGGGTGTCTGTAGGCCGTGCCCCTTCTGCTCTGCGCGTGGCGCGTGCAGGTCGCCACGTTCGGTGGCGCGAGCCTTGAGGAACCCTCACCCAGACGCCTGAACGTGTTGTGTTTGTGCCAGGGAGTTCGTGAGAGACAAGAAATACAGAACAGAAGCGGAAGCGTTTGGCTGGAGCTTTGTCTTTGAGGATTTTGTATCCGAAGAGCTGAAAAACAAGGTCACCCAGAAGCTGGAGGTAAATCTAAATCCCACGGGATGGGTTTCAGTGACAATGCTGGAGGTGGTATTTCTGATCACATCCCTGTCTGAGCTCCCTGTTCTAAGGGGAAAACAAAGCCCAGGCAGGGAGAGCCTTGCCGGTATTGCTTCTCTGCTGAGCAGCAGCTCCCGCCCAGGGCGGAACGTGGCCGTTCTCGGGGTTTTCTTCCATCTTGAGTCGTTTAGCGTTTGAAACTCGCAGCACAGCAGAGCCTGGGCTGAGTTACGGCCCTTCTCTGTTCCCATGCCCTCCAAACGCTGTCCGACTGGGTCTGGGAGATGCTGCACTGAGCTGGGAGAGGGCAAAGCACATTTCAAACGACTCATTAAATCTTAAAACAGAAAAACTGGCCAGCGTGGGCTTCTTGATCTAGTTTCACTTTCAAAAGCAAACGCCTGCGGCGGAGAGCACCGTCCGGTGTTGGTGATCTTCCAGCTCCAACGGCAGCGTTCAGCCGCGTCCGCGCTGTCACGCGCTCTCCTTTGCAGTCGCTGCTGTAGGAGGGTTGGCGGGGGGCGAGGGGGGACGGCTGCACGCGGCGGTGTTGCTGGTCCAGCTGTAATCTGGTGCCGTTCCTTTTCCCAGTCTGCCCCGTGGTGGCTGCCCATCGAGAAGGCTTTTTGGCGACAGGTGAGTGTGAACGGGGTGCGGCGAGTCCTCTGTGCCGGGCGCGTGTCGGCGTGTGCTGAGCCTCAGCGACGGAACTGGGGAAAATAACAGCGTTTCTGGTTGCTGCATGTTCTCTGCCTTGGCCTTTTCTGTTCGTTACTGCTTTTTTAATAGAAAATGTTACAGAATCTACTAAAATGTTTGGTGCAATTCCTCCCAGCCCTCGGGTCCTGGCTCCAGCATAAAGGACAGGCTGGATTACCCGGTACTGCACGTGAGCTGGAATGACGCGCGGGCGTTCTGTGCCTGGAAAGGGAAGAGGCTGCCAGCGGAGGAGGAGTGGGAGTTCGCTGCCAGGGGAGGACTGGAGCGTACGTACCACAAGCTCTGAGCTTCTTCCAGATCGAGGCATTACTCAACGTTAGTTCTGGCAGAACTAAAACTCCACCCAGGGATGTTGCCAGAGGTTCATCCGGGGCCTGAACCCCCTCTTCTGGGCTGGGAGTTGAATGAATAACAATAGTAATAATAGAGGAAGAAGTGGCTTCCTAAACAAAGCACTTCTGCCCGCTACAGGTACCATTTCATGGCTTGGGGCAAGGAGCCCCACGCCGGTGCTTGCCCAGAGCAGCCGCGGGGATCGCTGGGGAGCGTGGGGCTCCTGTGAGCGATGGTTTGTGAACAGTAAGCTGTTGCTGATTCCAGTCTCTCCTCGCCTCCTTGGCAGGGTCTGCAGGGATTAGACCAACAAGGCCTGTTCCTAACGCCTGTCGGTGCCCTGAGCTGAGCAGAAAGGGATGGTCATAACGGCCTGGTTAAACCCAGGGCAATGCCGAGGCTGGAGGGATGGGGTAACGGGTGTCTCTCCCTCTTTGGCAGAAAGGGAGTATCCATGGGGGAACAAGTTTCAGCCAAACCGTACAAATCTGTGGCAGGTAAGATCCTAAAAATCATCGTGTCTGTGCTGAGCTCCTCTGAGGGTGGCGCTTAACTGGGCTGTGGAGCGCGCATGGCTGCCTGGTCCTGGGGAGCTGCGCAGGCTCCCCTGCACGTACCGAAATTCAGCCCCCGGTGGGTTATCCGAAATACCCCTAGAGGGAGCAGACTCGGCCCAGCTTCCCTGGGAAACTAGGATTTCGGTGCTTCCAAAAATTCATATGTAACCAAAACCTCACAGGCCAATCTGTCTGAGCAGGGGTTGCGGTGGGAGAACTTTGACCGTTGTTGGGTCCGTGGTCGGACGCGCCGCGTTGGAGTTAATCCGCAACGGAGAGCTGCTTCCGTGGTTAAGGGTAACGCGGCCGGCCCTGTGAGGAGCGGGGCTTGGCGCCGGCTGCAGTGCATCGGGGCTGAGGGGATCTGTGTTCCCACAGGGCCGTTTCCCGAGGGTCGACACGGCTGAGGACGGCTATCACGGCGTCTCGCCGGTGGCAGCGTTCCCTCCTCAGAACAGCTACGGTACGGAGCAGGCGTCTCTGCCCTCGTTTCGGGGATGGCATGTGCTTCCTACGTGAACACTAATTACGAAGTCCCGTAGTTGTAGCGGAGTTTTGGTGTGATGTGGGATCCACGTCAGCGGCTCGACACCACCCCCCCTGCCAGCAAAAGCACGGGCAGTTGTCCCTGGAGCCGGCTGACGTGCTCCTAGAGCGCCTCGCCGCGCTGGCCCTGCTCTTAATTGGAAGTCACTGGTGTCGTACTTCGGTGGGATTCACCTGGCAGTCCCGAGCATGCCATTCGGGGGCAGCGGACGCCGTGCGCTCACGCAGATGGGAACCAACGCGACGCCCAAACCGGGGCCAGTTTGCAATACAGTGAAGAGCTGCTGGTTCCCCGTCTCACCGTTGAACCACACTTTTGCAGCGATGCTTGGAACGTTGCAGCCCCACACACACCCCAGAGCGCTGCCCTTGCCAATGTGCTCTCCTAATCCCGGCACAATCCCATCTCCCAGGGCTCTACGACCTGCTGGGGAACACCTG